TAAAGAGTCATCATAAAAAAGACATTAACTTTTTTCAAAGAAAATAACATTTTAAAAATTAAGAATAATCCCACCCTTAAATTTAACAATAACTTAATAGTTCCTTTAAGTTGTTCCCCCTGGTACAAAATGATCAACATTATTTAAAAAAATTTAACATCACTCCATACAACTTCATTGAAATGAACCCTTTGATACCCACCCTTAAAAGCCTTATCAAACTTCATAAAACAGATCAGAGTATCAGCCCAATCATCAGCAACATTAACAACTCTACCATTAAGACATTTTAACGTGTTAATCGATAAAACCGTTCTTTAGTTATAGCGAATTTAATCAAAATTAATTTTTTTTTAATTGGGGATCAGACTTCCAGTTGATACATGGAGTCATTTAAATGGTAGGTTAGACAAACACTTAAATAATACTATTTTACCGGTTTCAGGCTGTAAGAAGGTTCTTAACATTCACAAAAGTTGGTTTGTAATGTACCTTATAACTGTATTAGGAATGTAAAAATGACATATCGGTAATGTAAAAATGACATATTGGTAATGTTATATTTTTACAATACAGGAAAAGAAGCTACATATTTAATAAACCTTAATTATGAAAATTTTAAGTAACAATGGAACAGAAACCTAATGCTATTTTTAATAATAGTAATTATTTATGTTCCCCATGCAATTAAAACAACCCGAAAAAGTGTGATGCATTAGTTAGTTTAGGTAAATTAACGTCACTCATTTTACAAATTAATGAATTTAAAAAAAATTAAATATTTGTTGACAAATAAACATCTTTGTGACTGCCTAGCAACTAACTTGTATAACGACTTTGACATTTACGGAAAAAGTTGCAAATGAATTTTTGATTTACTATTGTTCGCATTAAAGTCATCAAAATGCGAAGGTGGTCGCCTGAAACCGATAAACTATTGAACAAACCTCGATATTATGACACATTACAGCCTTAGATGTCTTAAAATCCTCGCTCTTCGAGCTCGGATTTCAATCTGACATCTGCGGCTGTAATAAATGTCATAACATTTCTCGGTATGTTAATAGCTACTATCTACGACTGATTGGATAAGTCATCATTACCGCACTCATTTGAGGTGATTTGAGTTACGTAATGAAGTCATTACCGCACTGGTTTCATTACGTAACGCATTTTTAGCCTAATCAGAACAGACTTAATTTATTGAAACGGGCAACAATACAAAAGAAAAAGTGCTATCTACTTACAGAGAAACAATGCTATTTATTATAAATTTTAATTGTTATGTTTTACATTTCAAAACACTTATTCCAGATGAGTAAACATGTTGTTGAAACTGAAAATTCAAAATTGTCAACAATCATTTCAAAATATTTTTATAAATGTCAAATAGACTTTTCTAAAGAAATTGATTTTTTAGTAATTTTTAGCAGTCGTAGATAAAATGCTGTATATCACACGTGGGCTAGAGCATAATTACAGTACTCGTAATTAATATCAAATTATTTTTTTATTTTATGTTAAAGTAGTATAAATTTGCCGATTCAAGAACCTCCTCCTAGAACGCAGGTTCGAAATGTAACAATTATTAACTAATAATTTTTATTATTAGTACAACAAAACATTAGAGGGGGAATATAAATCAAAAATAGTGCTGCCATCTCTTAATCATATCCATTATTATTAGAAAGTCCACCAGCGTCCCCATAGCGGACAAATCCAAAAATAATACTTTACCCTTTACCAATGTTTACTTAGCGGTTAGCAGTCTGGTGTTTAACTAAGCTAATTTTATTGAATAAGTTCAATATCACGAAAAAAATCTTTTCTAAAATTAAAACAGATTCTGTTGTATAACTAAAATTCCTACGCCTCCTACGACTTCTAAAACTCCTATTACAATTGTTTGTTAACTTTATGCAATTACCCTGAGTAATGATTGATGAATCATTTGGATCAACTATTGATTGAAGAGTTTCTTCATTAATAATTTCTTCATTAATCGATTCTTCACTCGATTGAACTTTAATACTGTCAATTGCATTTTGTAGTTCTTGGGCACTTGAATTTAAAGTTTCTGTAACAATTTCATTGGAAGTTCATTTATTTTCACTAATATCAAGAATGTTTTGTGTTTCAACATCTTTGAATTATTCTTTTATACATTTTTCTTTCTTTGGTACATTTTCCAACTTATTAGTACATAGTTTTATTTGTTTTTAGGCGCTTTAAAGACGCTTTTTATATTTTCTTGTCTAATACGTTGCTAGAAACTAAGTCCCAATTATTAAATTGTTTTTAGAACTATTTTATTTCAGTACTTTCATGAAATTTGCACATTACATTTTTAATAATATAAAACAAAAACAAATATATAATAAAAATGCAGAAAATTAATAACAACACGCTTTCTACGACTTCTAAAACTCCTATTACGATTGTTTGTTAACTTTATGCAATTACCCTGAGTAATGATTGATGAATCATTTGGATCAACAATTGATCAAAGAGTTTCTTCATTAATAGTTTCGTCATTAATTGATTCTTCACTCGATTTAACTTTAATGCTATTAATTACATTTTGTAGTTCTTGGGCACTTGAATTTAATGTTTCTGTAACAATTTCATTGGAAGTTAATTTATTTTCACTAATATCAAGAACGTTTTGTGTTTCAACATCTTTGAATTATTCTTTTATACATTTTTCTTTCTTTGGTACATTTTCCAACTTATTAGTAGTTTTATTTGTTTTTATGCGCTTTAAAGACGCTTTTTTTATTTTCTTGTCTAATACATTGCTAGAAACTAAGTCCCAATTATTAAATTGTTTTTAGAACTATTTTATTTCAGTACTTTCATGAAATTTGCACATTACATTTTTAATAATATAAAATAATATAAAACAAAAACAAATATATAATAAAAATGCAGAAAATTAACTAATTTATAATAAGAAATATTCAAAACATATTTTCTATTTGTTTAAATTTTTAAAAAGCATTTTATTTTTAATTAATTTTATTCTTAGTTTATAGGCAACATTAAATGCATATTAGATCGAATACAGATATCTATAAAATAATTTTGAGTTTAATTAAGCTAATTTTATTGAACAAGTTCAATGCCATGAAAAAATCTTTTCTAAAATTAAAATAGATTCTGTTATATAACTAAAATATTAAAAAAAAATTAATCAGTAACAGTAATAACAACACGCTTTCTACGACTTCTAAAACTCCTATTACAATTGTTTGTTAACTTTATGCAATTACCCTGAGTAATTATGAACCATTTGGATCAACAATTGATTGAAGAGTTTCTTCATTAATAATTTCGTCATTAATCGATTCTTCACTCGATTGAACTTTAATACTATTAATTACATTTTGTAGTTCTTGGGCACTTGAATTTAAAGTTTCTGTAAAAATTTCATTGGAAGTTAATTTATTTTCACTAATATCAAGAATGTTTTGTGTTTCAACATCTTTGAATTCTTTTTTTATACATTTTTCTTTCTTTGGTACATTTTCCAACTTATTAGTAGTTTTATTTGTTTTTATGTGCTTTAAAGACGCTTTTTTTATTTTCTTGTCTAATACATTGCTAGAAACTAAGTCCCAGTTATCAAATTGTTTTTAGAACTATTTTATTTCAGTACTTTCATGAAATTTGCACATTTCATTTTTAATAATATAAAATAATATAAAACAAAAACAAATATATAATAAAAATGCAGAAAATTAATAACAACACGCTTTCTACGACTTCTAAAACTCCTATTACAATTGTTTGTTAACTTTATGCAATTACCCTGAGTAATGATTGATGAATCATTTGGATCAACAATCGATTGAAGAGTTTCTTCATTAATAGTTTCGTCATTAATCGATTCTTCACTCGATTGAACTTTAATACTATTAATTGCATTTTGTAATTCTTGGGCACTTGAATTTAAAGTTTCTGCAACAATTTCATTGGAAGTTAATTTATTTTCACTAATATCAAGAATGTTTTGCGTTTCAACATTTTTGAATTCTTCTTTTATACATTTTTCTTTCTTTGGTACATTTTCCAACTTATTAGCAGTTTTATTTGCTTTTATCTTACTTTTATTTTCAACCTTTTTTACAACATTCTTATCAATATCTTCATTCTCTTCAATTTCGCCCTCTTCAATTTCAATTTTTTCAATTGGAACATAAGCTTCTAAATCAAGCTTAGAAATCTTAGCATTATCAGTATGTAAATCGTTTTTAACATTTTTATTTTCAATGTTCTTTGTGTTTATGTCAGTTTTATTTTCTTTTTCATCCCTAATATCTTTACTTTTACTATCTCGCCTTGATTGTTTAAATTTGTTATCATTTGTTAATCTAGTATCTACATATCGTTTATCTTGAGACCTTCGTTCGGTGTATTTTGTATATTTAGGTCCCCTATAGTCGTCTTTATATTCATATTTTCTTGAGTCCCCCCTGTAACTTGAAGTGGAGTAATTAGTAGATTTTTCTCTATCACGATAATCTCTCCTATGATATGATTCTTGTTTTTCATGGGATTTTTCGCGATATTTATCAGAATTTTTTTCTTGTCTCTCTTGACTCTTTTCGTATCTATCTTGATTTTTTTCAAATTTCGGTCGTTTATTTTCAATTGATTTTTGTTCTCCAATTTCTTCTTGTATTGGTCTTTTCCTTTGCTCACCGTGATTATTTCTTCTAAACAGTATATCATCAACTTGTTTCCTTAATTCAGCTATCATACGATCTTTCCTAGCAATTTCAGCTTTGGCAGTCTTAAAAAGTTCCGATAAATTGCGAGTTATTTTTTCTTGAGTTGTTTGAAATTCCTTTAATTTCTTATTCAACGTATTAACCTCGTTAGTCAAAGATTCTATATTTTTAATATGGGTTTCGTTTATTTCTTGGAGCTAAGAAATTGTTAGGTTAGAAAAAGTTAGGTTATGTTTGATTTTTTTTAATTTACCTCAGCATATTTTTCGGCAAAATCGATTTGGTCTAAATCTGCGTATATATCTGGAAAGGTATCATCCATTTCGCAATAATTCCTTTTTGTAAATCACTCAATTTAGAACAAAAATTTAGTTGAATAAAGTTAGGTTAGAATCCTGTTAATGAACTGTCAGATTTGGCGTAAAATTGAATCAAATGAAGTTAGGTTTAATTTTAAACCCGATAAATGACGTTTAGTTTGAAGTTTATTTTTTAGGTTAGAATGTTTAAAATGAATTTTTGTCAATGTTAATATATATAAATTACGTTTTTTTTTAGATTAAAATTGCGAATATAGGAAAGCGGGGAATAGTTTATGCGCAGTAATGTTGCGCGTTAAATCTCCATTACGTCTGACGTACTTCTACCTGTATCAAAAGTTGTATCACAAGGACTCGGTATAACACGCTTCTGGAACGCACACCTTCGTTTCAAAATTTCGTCGGTTTTATCGCGAAAACGACCCAAAAAGAATACCACAATTTAACAACCCGCAACATGTGATCGTCGGTGATTGTGTCCGGTGTGAATTAGTGCCTTAAAACTTGTTCAAATCTTCGGGTGCCTTTGTGCGTTAAATGTACTCGTTACGTGCAGGATAAGAATTACAGGTAAGTTTTTTTTATTTTCTAGTACATTATTAACTCTTTTGTGGGAATTCGTTTAAAGGTATGGTGATTGATTTAAAGGTAGAGGTGTTATTTTGAAGTTGGAAAGTTTGCGGAGAAAAGTTTTTCGCGTTCGACGAACTTTACAGAAAGTTTGTCAAACAGGTAAAAGCCAGGTTCACACCGTCGCAATTGAGACACGCTCTTATTAAATGGATTTGTTTGGGTCAAGAACGAAGGTTGAAAGGTTTTTTTTGACCTTGATTTTGAATAAAATCAAAAAGGGCGTGATGTAATATCTAACAACACGTGATAAATCATTGAAATGGATTGTTTTGAAAAAAATTTTAAACGATAATGGAATTTATTTAATCCCCTTCATAGATAACCTCCAAGGAATTCAACCTCATCGTATTTCATTTTCCTATGAATCAGATAGATCAATTTTTTTTCTATAACATAGGGTCATCCCCTATGTTGAATGAATGAGTGTGACTCATATTGTAACGATTTCGATTGCTTTGCTCATGCTGCGAAAGGAGGAGGCTGACTGTTTGGTTCTGTGCTATATTTGGAGTGATGAGTAAGTTGTATCAAAGTAATTCTTCGATAAATTAATTTTTTGTTTGATTAAAAAGCGATTACGTTTGGATTTTGATCGAGATTTGCATTCTTTCGTTCCGTATCTATTTTATAATTATAATTTTCCGTCTCAATGGGATTTCAATAGAAAGTAGAATTTTTCCTTCCCATTTTCCGTTATAGAAACTTGGGTTTCTTGTTGTTAACGCAACGCAAAAAAAAAACTTAACGGCAGTCAGACACAACAAGTTGAGAGCAACTACCGAAACAATTCAAAAACAATTCAAACAGGATGGATACATTATTGTCGACAGGAAAGAACCCAAGTACCTTGGAAGTTTTAACGCCCCTCAGTTTCAACTCTACACCAACAATGATATCTAATTAGAAAGCGTTTTAATTTAATTTAAATTGTTTCTTATTTAAAATTAGTTCTTTGTATAATTTAAGCTTTTTAAGCACCCTTTCTATGAATTTTAATCGATAATTGACATTTAATTGGTGCTCAAATCTTTAAATATGCGCGAGTTAGTATAAACTCGCTCCAAGCACAAACCTTTCGACTGACTTCGAAGACGTTTCTATAGATGAGTATACATGGTGTCTTATAAAAGTACTTAATTGCTGTCCTGGCATACTGAATATATCCAAGACTACGTGAAACCTGATTTGCAAACCCGAAAATAACACAAGGCTTTAGTAGGTGTCGTATTCTTCCGCTGGCAGAAGACGAGGTAGTGTATGCAAAAGGTTACATATTGCTAATAGAAAGTTAGACACTGCTAATGGAAGATTAGATATTGCTTGCAGAAAGTTACATACATGCTTGTAAAAACTAAATACTACCAGTCTTCTGGCAGACTATATAATAGTCTTCTACCAGACTAGCCATTGTAATTTCACACTTCTTTATTTGTTCTTAATTTAATGTTTGTCCAGACTACAAGTATCACGAACTTTGTAAAATTTAATAAATAGCATATTACAAGTGAGACCAAATCTACCACGCTTGAAGTTTATGGAGTATACCTATGGCTGCCTCAAGGATCACAAACAATACTTGGGGCGACCGACGTCTTCAAAGTCGGCCGAGAGTAATTTATTCTTCCAAAAGGTTGCCACTTAATACCATGTTGATACAAAACAAGATAGTTCTATAGATGCTTGTCATTTTTCTGGCAGTTTTTCAGTGACGTGGCGTCTTATTGGTCGTCTCAACTGTTCGAGATACTTGAGGCCGAGATTATTTCTTCCAAGTGGCTGCTGCTTGATTTCACGTTGATACAGAACAAAATGCTTTCTATAGATGAGTGACATATTTCAGACAGCGTTCAAGTATACGTGGTGTCTTATTGCAGTACTTTAATTGCTCTTCTAGGACACTGAAGTATAAATATTATATAAAGGACTATATCTAATTGTAAGACTACGTGAAACCTGATTTAGATCGATATATTAAATTGCAACCCCAAAAATAGCACATGGCTCTAATAGGTTTCGTATTCTTCTGCTTCCAGAAGACGAGGTATTGTATGCAAAAGATAACATATTGCTAATAGAAAATTGGACACTGAAACAAACAATAATGATACTGGAATAAACAGCATATTACACGTGAGACCAAGTCTACCCTGATTGAAGTTTATGGAGGAATAATCTCGGCCGACTACGAAGACGTCGGCCGCCCCAAGTATCACAAACAATACTTAGCGCGGCCACATCTTCGAAGTCGGTCGAGATTATTTCTTCCAAGAAACTGCAGTTTGATATCATGTTAATATAAAACAAGATAGTTTCTATAGATGATTGTCATTTTTCTGGTAGTTTTTCAGTATACGTGGTGTCTTATCGGAGTACTTAATTGTGCTTCTAGGAACTGAATATATCGAAGACTACTTGACACCTGATTTGGACCAATATATGAAATTGCAAACCCAAAAATAGCACATGGCGTTAATATGTCTAATATTCTTCTGCTGGCAGAAGACGAGGTACTGTATGCAAAAGATTACATATTGCTAATAGAAAGTGAGACACTGCTAATGGCCGATTAGATACAGCTTGCAGAAAGTTACATACATGCGTGTAAAAACTAAATACTACCAGTCTTCTGCCAGACTGTATAATAGTCTTCTACCAGACTAGCCATTGTAATTTCACACTTCTTTATTTGTTCTTAATTTAATGTTTGTCCAGACTACAAGTATCACGAACTTTGTAAAATTTAATAAATAGCATATTACAAGTGAGAGCAAATCTACCACGCTTGAAGTTTATGGAGTACCTATGGCTGCCTTAAGAATCACAAACAATACTTGGGGCGGCATCGTTTTCGAAGTCGGCCGACATTATTTATGTCTAATATTCTTCTGCAGGCAGAAGATGCTTAAACAAACAATCATAATAATAAAAAAATGTGCCTTGTGATTCAAGATTTCTTATAGAATTCCCAAATGATGGGTAGACTAGATTTTAGAACTCCTTTCATGGCCCTTGGGGTTTTGGCATGATACACAAGTGGAGGTTTTAATTTTAAATCGCCATTGGCGTTACCACTCAGAAGAAGGGTGAAAACGGTCTTTTGCAGCTTTGAAACCCGGTACTCGCTTTTTTTTCTCGCGCTTTGGCATTCTCTTCCAAAAATGTCCTGTTCATCCACGTTAAAAAACAATTCTAGTGGATAATTTCCTCTTTCAATTATGGTTTTTAATGTTGCAGGAAAAATTGAAGCGGCAGCAGTACTTGCACTCGCTGCTTCTTTGGTGATTCGAATGTTGTGGAGTTCTTTTTTTTTTAAATTATCGAACCAACCTCGGCTAGCTGTCAAATTTTCAGTCGTATTTTCTTTTTCACTTTAAAGGTGATTAAAAATATTTATGGCCTTTTGCATGATGGTTTTTTAACTTTGCGGCATTTCTTCTAAAATATTGCTTCTTGATTGAGTTATCTTTGCTGCACTAGACGATATGGTAGTAGTTGCTGACAACTTAATTTTGTCTTTGTTTCTTAAAATGGTTCTTATTGTAGAAGTAGACAAATTTAAAGCATTTCCAATGTCAATGCCATTTCATGTGCCTCAACACTTGCATTTTAATGTCGAGCGAAATGCTGTTTCCTGTCATTTTTGTTTTATTATCTTTACACTCATTTTTACAATCTAAAGAAAATATGGATAACATTTAAATGAACATATATTTATTTGATTTTCTTACACAATAATCTATTATTACTACATAAACTAATTACGTTTTACGCAGAACGTGAAATTGTTGAATAACAATTTTACAACTTTAATATCTTACAAAACTTAAATGCACCAAACAAGCATATATTCTGGGGAATCACCGCACTACGTACATATTCGAAAATAATCGTATATACGAATGTATACGAATCAATGAAATGCTGCAATAATTTGAATCCGGCTATATTTTAAGCATTTTTAAGGTTTTCAACAAACCGCATTATAGCAAATCAGCGTTAATCGAGGTCTTACTGTACTCAATTGCTGTTTTAGGATTATGAATATATCCAAGACATAATCTTCTGCTGGCAGAAGACAACGTACTGTAGGCAAAAGATTACATATTGCTAATAGCAAGTTAGACACTGTTAATAAGATTAGATACTGCTTGCTGAAGGTTACATACATGCTTGCAAAAAACTAGATACTGCTGGTAGAACACTGGCCAGTGTAATTACACATTTTTTTGTGGTTTAAAGATTGACCAGACTACAAGTATCACGAACACCAGTACTTTGTAAAATCCAGTAAACAGCATATTTCACGTCAGATCAAGACTAGCCGGCTTGAAGTTTATGGAAGAATAATCTTGGCCAACTTCGAAGAGGCAGCACCTTGATACCATGTTGATACAAACCAAGCTGATTTCTAGAGACGCTGGTTGCTTTTCTGACAGTATTCCAGTGTACATGGTGTCTTATTGGTCGCATCGAGTGTCGTTCGTGATACTTGGGGTGGTCGACGTCTTCGAAGTCGACCGAGATTATTACTTCCAAGAGGCTGCAGCTTGAACCATGTTGATAGTTGGTTTCTATAGATGATTGGCGTTTTTCTGACAGTATTCCAGTATACGTGGTGTCTTATAGGAGTACTTAATTGCTGTTGTAGGATACTGAATATATCCAAGACTACGTGAAACACATGAGACCTAGTCTACCCTGCTTGACGTTTATAGAGCAATAATCCCAACCGACTTCTTCGAAATATCACGAACAATACTTAGGGCGGCCGACGTTTTCGAAGTCGACCGAGATTATTTGGTGATTATTTCTAGATTATTATCACGTTGATACAAAACAACATGTTTT